CTCCTACCAAGGTGGTTACCTCCATTTGGGCGAAGCATAACCCCCTCAGCAGGTCAGCCTCATTGAATCCGGATGCCGAGCGCAGGGCTGTCTCCTCCACAATCTTCACCAAGCAGTCTGCCCCCGCCCTGGCTGGGCCTTCTTCTCCCTCCAACCTTCCAGCTACCGCGCGAGCGTGATAGATTGCCGTGGCCAGACGGACCTCTCCTTCCTGGGGTGCAGGCCCTCTTTGGGTCTGCTCCTTCCCGCTCGGCTCAGCCTCAGTCAACCCAACTCCTACTTGCATTGTTGGGGTAGTCTCCACAACCTCCAGTGTTGGGGTGACCCCCACCACCTCTGGGGTATCCTTGGCCACAGGGGCCTTCACCTCAGCTGGGGCCACCTTAGCCCTCTTGGCCCCGGACTTATCTGTAGCTCCCTCTGGGGCACTCCTCTTCTTTCTCTTCTTCTTCTTCAGAGCCTCTCCTTCCTTTCTGGCCTGTTCTTTTACAGGATCTACTGGGGGCGGTCGTGGCTCAAAACTGTTTAAGTCCTTTCCCCCTAGCGGCCTTGGGCGCGGTCGGATCCTCTCACACGCGATCGGTTGAGGCGGTTGGTCTCATCGCGCTTCCTTCAACTTCGTGGCTTTAGCAAGTATGGCCTGATCCTCTACTTCCTGAACTTCTCTTCTCGCCTCCAATTCTGCTCGGTCGAGGTCCCCACCCCTCGGCTGCGGTCCCAACCCTACGTCAAACAATGCGGACGGCTGAACAAGCTCGTCCCATTTGGCCTTCTCTCTCTCCCTCCACTCCTTCACCCTCTTCACCCTCTCTTCCGCCGCTGCCTCCAGTCTTGGCTCCATCGACCTAATGGGCACCTTCCAGATGGTGCGCACTCCCAGTCCCCCATTGGCAGACACGTAGAACCACCGTGGCCGCCACCCCTTGATCGATGTCGACAGCCCCGCCACCAACCCCCTCCCCATCACTGCCTGTAGGGTGACCCACGTCTCTTGCTGCCCCGAAGCCTTATAACAGGAAAAGAACTCGTCTACCGCCATGGCTTCCCCTCCATTCGCCTTGGGCCACGCGCTAGCGCAGGCCAGCAGAATCTTCCATGCATTGGGCATCAATTGCCCCGGTGCTACCTCTAGACGGTTCAGTACATCAAGAACCACTTGGGGCAGTGGCAACCTCAACCCACCTTTTAGCGCCTCCTCGTAAAGGGAAAACTCCCCTAGCCTGGCATCAGACGGCCTTTCCCTTGATGTTGGCAGCAATAACTCCACCTCAGCCGGAATCTGGTATTTTTCCCTGATAGCCTCCAAATCCGCCGCAGTAATTGTGGATTTGTCAGCCTTAGTGTGCCACTGATCCGGCTCTACCTGGCTTATTGGCCTTGGAGCCACTATCAGGGCCGACGCCTGCGATTGTCCCACTGGTTCCCCTACCCCCACCATTCGTGTCTCCGTCTTATATCGCGCTGCTAGCTCTTCTGCATCCCAGGGGGTCCACCCTCACATTCCCCACTTCTTCTTGTGCCATTTCTAGGGTTTGCTTATGAATCAGTTCTGACGCAGGAGCAAAGAAGTTGAGAAAATGTTGCAAAGGTGTGTCGTGCGCAATGAAGGAATTAACACTTGGGTATTTTGAGTTTTTGTAAAAAGGTAGGTGAAACGAATTATACCAAAAATCCACGATTTACCCGTATTCCATGGATCCAAATTAATTTTTGCCCGTTTAAAAACCTTTCAAATCAACCGCCAAAATCGCCTTTTCAAAACCCCCTCTCGTTATCTATCGTTTCATTTCTGCTCCAACGCTTCACTTCCCCCATGATATTGACACGTGTATGGCCACGATGCACTGTCCCCTCCCCTTACCCTGTCCTTTCCATTTCACATCATCACATGGTACGCCCCCTTTTTTTTTGAGCCCCGTGCCGTCTTGGTCGGCCCCCCCACGCTCGGGCCCCCCCCGCTTGGCCACTCTTGCGGTCGGCACGCCTAATGGTCGGCCTCTCCGCTCGGTTCGCACTTCTCTTCCTTATTACTATTCCCTTCGTTGGACTAAAGCTGCACTCGGAAATGAGGGACTACTGACATGGATAGCCCATAAGGCTTACAGCCCACAGCAAACAACCCCAAACCCATCGCTTGGGACCCATAGCATAACCTGGCTGGCAAAGCCCAGGACAGCTGGAGCCCATCTGGGCATGGAGGGCCAATGACATTCGGGCACATGGCAGGTGAAACACAGGCCACATCAGCAGACAAAGATATGCAGAGTTATTGTCACAACACATCACTATTAATGCAGCCCATCACAGCATTTATTACGACAACACCTCCCCGTCGGAACAGAGCCTCCTCACCCTGAACAAGGTAAGCTACGGCACAAGCTTTCGGCGGAAGGGGGCACGTCGCAAGGGACAGTAAAATGATTACCAAAGGATATAAGCAAGAATCAAAGACAAGAGGAAGGTTAAGCTTTTCTATCTCTCTCTCTCTATATTTCCTTCTTCCTCTACTGATTTGCTCGCCGGAAGGTTCACTGGGGGACTACCCCGTTCCCCTTTGGACTTGTTTGCAGGTCATCTGGTGGAATCATCCGCCTGGATCAGAACTTGAAGAGCTTGGACCAGCCCGACCCATCCACCCAGGACGAACTGCATCATCATTTGGTATTTTTTTTTTTTTAAAAAGATTTTAGACTTTTAAGATATACTTGTCAAGGCAAATCGAAAAATAAGTAAAAAAATAATTAGTATGTTTGGTTTTACTTTTTTGAATAAGTTTTTTAAAAATTGAGATTTTTGTTTTTCGTATTTTTTTTGGTTTTTAATGAATATTTTTAAAATTTTGAGCATTTTTTTTTTAGATGCACCTTACTTAGATATATCTAAAAAGTAAAGTATTTGTGAAAAAATATTTTAAAAAATTAATAAATACACAAAATGTACTAAATTTTGATATATATATATATATATATTTTGGTATTTAGTTAATTTTTTAAAGATTTTTTCACAAAAATTATATTTTTAAAGTGTATTTATGTTAGGTGTATTTAAATTTTTTTTAAAAAAATTATTGAAAATATTAAAAAATTCAGTAAAAATAAAAAAATAAACAAGAAAGTTGAATTTTTTAAAAAACTAAAACCAAGCAAAGTGAATATTTTTTAGACTTTTAAATTTTTTTAAATTTTTTAAAATTTGCCTACAAAAAATAAAAAATAAATATAATTTTAATAAAATACCACTAAAAATAAAAAATAAAAAAAATGCGAATTATTTGCCCTAAAAATGCGAAATTTATGAATTGAGAGATTGCGGAAAATAACAGCAGCCTCTAAAACCCAACTGCAAGGTTAAACCCTGCTCTCTTGCTTCCCTCTCTCTCTCTCTCTCTCTCTCTCTCTGGGGAAGGAGGTGAGATGGCCGTGGACAAGAACAAGCTCGAAGAAGAAGCAAGTGTTCTTCGCTTCTACAAAATAGTTCTCAGTTGGGATTATCTACGCCTCATCCAAGATTCCGGAGTAATTACTCTCTCTCTCTCTCTATATATATATGTATATGTATTTGTCTGTGTATGATTTTTAAATGTTAATGTTTCGATTCATGTGATTATTGAAATTTCAATGCGTTAAATTCACGCGATTTGTTTTGAAGCCGAAAAATAGAAAGAACATTGAGGACGGAAGTGGTTTGGGACTGAGGGAAGTGAAGAATACATACAAAGATGTTGATGACTATCTGGCAACATTTGAGCCCCTTTTGTTTGAAGAAGTGAAAGCACAGATCCTTCAAAAAAAAGACGACGAAGAAAGTAATTTTTCTGTCCCTTGTTTGTTTTTCCTCAAGCAATTTGTTTATTTGAAATTTTACATAGTTCCTGGCCAATTATAGGCATACATGTATGTATGTATGTATGTATGTTTATATCTGTGTATATGTTATATTCTGTTTTCATTGATAACGATTGGTGTGACGCATGAAAAAAAAAAAAAAGAAAAACAAAAAAGAGGAATGCTAGATAGAGACCCATGAAAAGATTGTGAGTCTCAATCTTTTTCCAAAAACTGTCTATTGTGATTTTAACCGCAATGCACAACATTTTCAACTTGTAGAGAAAGAAGAAAGAAAGAACACAAAAGGTGTGACACTGATTTAAGTGGGATATCCATCAACATGACTGGAAAAGCCATGGAGAGCAAGAGATTCAGGTTGTGTTTGGGTTGTTGGAACGCTGTTAGGCAGGAATGGAATGACCATTTTCCTATATTGGTGAACGGTGGTGACTGAACATGAACATGAGAATGAGCATTCCAACGGAATGACCATTCCATTATGGTCTCATTTCAGTGAACCAAACACTGCAATAGGGTGTTCCCTGGAAAGGTGGTCAGCTTCTTTACTATTGGAAGCTTGGGTGGGTCGCGGGACAAGGAAGGCTTGGTGAATATGTTCCAGGTTCATTCACCAGGCACTCCTTTCCCTCTCCCCCAGTAAAACTACTATATGATGTTCTTATCTGTACTCCAAATTTTTATTTTTTTTACAGTAAGTTGTAGCTTTGTAGGGCTCCATATTCCCTAGGCTTCATGATTGATCTTCAAGCTTTTTGTCATCTCTCCGGTCTCAATTCAGCAGAGTTTCCCCTTAGTTACTGATAGCGAAAAAGGCTTCTTCCAATGAAAGATACGAGTTCTATTTATAGAGCAGTTGCTTGGGGAATAAACTTCTTGATGATGTAATTCCATGTCATGGAACAACTGCTCCCATTATATTCGCATTCTAATTTGCACACTGTAACCAGTTTTTCTTATATATGTTATCATGAGAATAGTCTTGATGTCATTGTCATGGTAGGAATGTATTCTTCTGTCTCTCAAGGGAGAGTTACTCTGTGTGTGTGACATTTCCCGTGGCTTTGTTATTATATTTTTTCTAGTTTTGTGTATGATTAGAGGTATGAAATGTGACTGAGAAAATGACCTCTCTTTCTCTCTCTAAAATGTTTTGTTGGGCATTGCAGAAGCAGAATGGCAGCTTGTACTGACAAACAAATGTAATGAGACAGATGGGTTTCACTTGCCAACTATTATACTTGTAGATGTGGGGTCAGTATCACAGAATGATCTGTTACTGCTTTCAGAAAAGCAGGTAATTATTTGATCATGTTCAACTGTTGTCTTTGGCTGGTTATTAAATTTTTTAATAGATTGGCAAGTTACAAATTAAAACTTCCAAATCATAACTGGCATTGTTTTTGCTTGAATCTTTTATTTCCCTTTTGAATAATCTTCGATATGCTAAAACCCTTGTTTTACATGTATCAATGGTATCATTTTGCAGTTTGGAGAGGGTAAAGAACTCCCAACTAAGTATGCATTTGCGCTTGTTGAGCATCGTAATGATAATAAACTTCAAGTTACACTTAGAATGCAATTAAGTGGAGAAGTCAAACGGACAAATGCAGATGAAGTCGAACAGTGTCCAAGGCTGTTGAATATGCTTTCTCTTGTTTCTGAAGTAAACAAACCATTACGCATGCTGAAGGTATGATTCTATTATAGAGACAGCTGTTGTACGTAATTGTATGTTTTTCTTTTTTCAGCCAGGCAGGGGGTGGGGAATTCTTTAATGTTTGGGATGAAATATTTCTGCAGGCTTAGTGGCAGAATGTTTACTTACTATTCAACGGATTCGTTTTTCCTTTTTTTTTAACCATATACTTGGCTTGATCCTAGTGCACCCAAGTTGGTAAAATTTCATTGGGAGGAGCAGATGTCATAACCTAAGTCACCAGAACGCAGAGCAAGAGTGAGAGTAGGAGCACGAGAGCGTCAATATTTGAAATACCTTTATATATGTAAATTAATATGTTTATGAATAATTTTTTATACACAAAAATGTAGATATATTCATGAAATATCAACACAAATTTTTCAATGCATAGATAACAGTTGATAACAAAATGTGTTACTGCAGATTTTTTTCTCCATTAAGTAGATACGTGATTTGCATTAAAGCTTCAAGAAAGTGTAAAACAAAAAACTTTCATGGTTCTATGTTCATAAAGAAGTACATGATTTACATTCGATCTTCCGAAAGTGCAGAATCACTAGAACTTGATTACTTTGGAATTCTTGGCCATTTTCAATGTGAAATCTCTTCTCTTTGACTTTGTTCCTTTGATGAGTTTGGTTGTTCTTCAGCATAAACTTCATTTGCTAAGTTTAGAGGAGTATATCTAGATAAGTTAGCTTCATCATTTGAAAACAACAGTGTATACTCTCTTTCCTCAACTTATGCTATGTGAAACACTGAAAATTATCTTCAATGTAAGTTTCTCCCAATTCTCATATGATTTTTCATAATCTGCTCGATATCGAGTCAACAAGTGATGGTTAAAATGAACATACACTAAAGATTCCACATGATTTGCATTAAGTTTATATTTGAGATTTAAAATTTGATTTTTGTCTTGCATAAGTAATATCTTTGTTGTGTAATAGTGTTTGAAAAAAGCCGTTTTCAAGCATTAAGCTTTAAGAGATCTTGGAATGTACAATTTTGTTTCCAAGAAGCAGGCTTTTTAGGATGATTATGATAACAGAACTTTTTGGAAGACATGCTCATTGTGGTCGTTTTTTCTGTAGGTTTGATTTTATGTGTGTAACTGAATTGGGTGAAAATGTTGTATATGATAATTATGTCATTGACTGAGGTGTAGTCACAGTATGATTTGTGGTTTGTATTGGAGGTTGCTTGCAATATCCTTGTCATCATCATTACTATTTGTCTTTATTGTGCTCCTCCTCATCCTTGCCGTTGTCGTTGTCATTGTCATCTTCCTCATCATGATTATCATGCTGCTGTTTTGTGATGATTATTACCAGTAATGTTACACAAATACACACAAACACAGAGGTCCTATTAATATGTTTGTCCTATTCTGTTTTCCAGAAAAACCATATCTCGGACTTATTTCAGACATTTCCCCCCTATGATTTTAAATCAGCATAAATGTAACATAATGTGCAGATTTGCAGTTTATCAACTATTGCTCGAGAATATGTTGCTCTACGGTCAATTAAATCCCTTCCATTCAAGGATTTGATATTAGCAGCTGCTGAAAGCAATTATATTTCTGAAGACCAGGCTTGGGAAATTCCCAGACCTCTCATGGAGTCTATTGAAAGTAATCACAATAAATCTCAACTGGACGCCATTCGTGTGAGTCTTTACTCAAAGGTTTCTTAATTGGTCTTGCTTTTATGTCAACTTAGCTGCTTCTGACTAGTTTATGTCAATTTGGTTTCAATAGTTTGTCATGAATTTACTCAATGGATATTCTTGTTTACTGCAGGTAGGTCTTTCCCGTAAAAGATTTGTTCTGATACAGGTTTGATCTATGTCTAAGTGCTCCTAGTTGTTTATTTTTACCCAATTGTATTTCATCTTCATCTAAGTGTGTCCTATACTTCCAATATTATTGTGATTATTTTTATTCCTGTTCATTCTTGATCTATTGTTCATTTAGTTGTAGTAACTAAGCACATTTATTTAACACAATCAATCCTGTTCAGCAACCGAATCTTGCTCATATAGTCAGTTAATTACTAAATTTTGCATGGGTAACCTTCAAAAATTAAAATATATGATTTTTGTTCTTTATTTTTTCTTTCCAACTTAATATAGCCTATTGTCACTACACATGCATTTGTTGTGGCCACTAACAGTGTTTATATAACTCAGATGCAAGCTAAGTGCAACCTTGAGTAATTATTACAAGATCAGATGTCTTTTTCCCAATTTGTGTTTTTTTAAATGGGCTGACCGTTGGAGGCTGTAATTTTGGACCTCCATATGGATGTGTGGAATCTAATGGCATATGCTTCCTTTCAGGGGCCCCCTGGAACAGGTAAAACACAAACAATTCTTGGGCTCCTTAGTGCCATCTTACATGCAACTCCAGCAAGAATAAACACAAAGTAGGTATCTACCAAGTGTAGTTCATTTTATATTAGATTCTTATGATAACTTATCATCAGACTCAGTCCCTCAATCTAGAGGTTGTGGGTTCGAACTTGAGGGCAGCCACTTTGTGCAAATAATGCTAAAGATCACTCAATGTGGAATAAATTGAGTGTGCTTTTACTTTTTACTTTATAATAGCTGTTTATCAAAGTATTATTTGTACGGCATTACTTCCAAAAGATCTTATTAGGGTAGAGAATCAACTGCAGAATAAGATATCGTGCATTCCTTTGATAAATAGTCTGGTTTCCGTTTGATGCAGGGGCAAATCACGTGGAATAAAGCGTGGACCAGAATTGCCGATTCAGGAAAAGTATGTCTTGGTCACTAATTCATTTCTTTGCCTTCACATTGTTTTTGGATTCTTTTCATTTGATTGGAGATTTCTTGAATTGGCTATTGTACAAGTGTTGCCCTAAGCCCCTGTGTTGGGGCTCGGCTCCCGAACCGTACATGAGCTGCCTTGTACGGCTCTTCCTAGGAACTTGAAGCCCCCTCTTTCTAAATAGAAAAAAAAAAAATACATTTACAAGACAAAAAAGACTTTTTCAAAAAGCCTTCGCCCTCCTATTCAAGGGGCTATTAGAGAAACAGCTTTTTTTGTATGTGAACTTTTCTCATCTATGCTTTTCCACAAACATTGCATAGAATGTTTCTGCTGAAAGACAATTACCTTGCACCACATTGATTTAACTTCTGTAATTGTAAGGAATTTTTTTAAGATTGAAGCTTTTTTTCTTGAACACTATATGGAATGGTTAATGCGTTCTTTTCGAAGGGGAACTAGACTCCGGAAAAACTCCAAAAAAACTCGCTTCCACCCATTTTTAAATGGAATTGTTGGACATTTGAGTTTGTGGTTGAGGGATTTTTAAAGGACTTGTGCCTTCAATTTACCTCTACAGTTTTAGAGGAAGGGTGCCATGCATCAAAATGCTGAGGAAATTTAGGTAGCATTTGGTAGAGTTTTAGAATTATGATTTGAGAATAGAGTTATATTTTGAGTTTGTGAGTTTTGGAATTATGATTTGAGTGTGGAAAATTTGTTTGATTATGAGTTTTGAAAAGAGTTTTGAATTGAGTTTGAAATGATTTGATGTGACATATGATATTTGATTCAAAAACTTAAAACTCATAACCAAACAAACAATCCAAAATTCTATTCAAAACTCATAAAAAATTTAGTGTTTCATGAAAAATTTACATCTTGCTCAGCAACATGAACTATAAAGATACGTTGGGAAAAGAGTATGGAGGGTCAGGGAAGTCAAAAATGATGTCTCTTAAAATTAGGACTTGAGTTTTTGTTTTCCTGGTGTATGAAGGGTCTAGGATTGCGTGACAAATTGTGATTAGTAAAATCTAAAATGAGAAAGGGGAAAGTGGACACAATGGTGCTGGGGAAAGTGTTCTTATCTTCAAATGTGAGCTCAAATTATGTGACACCGTGACCTCCTTGAAGATAGAGAACCTAGTTTTGGTAAGCCTGGTGGACACCTCTGCTATTGCGTTCAATCACATTAACTTTAAGAAGCTAAGCATTAGTAGGTGATATAACGATTGTGAAACTATGGGTAAATTAGATTTGTGGTTGGTTCCTCAAATAGGATGCCTGGTAATGGGACTCCTTGCATCATTTTATTCAAGCGCTTGGAGAAACTAGCTATTTTTCCTTAGAAATATTATCCATTTAAATTTCTATATAATTATGATTTATGGAGGAAAATTGGGTGATTATGCTACTCAGTGCACCAACCTAAATTTGATTTGAGTAACTATTTTTTATTTTATTATATTATTCAAACATGTTATGATGTTTCTTACAATTATCAACTAGTTATATAGTTACAAAGATTCAAGTTCAATGCAAATTTGTCTTAATTCAAGTTCAGAGTTGAACTTAGTTGTGATCTAAGAAGCAAGGACACTTCTAAGAAGGTGACGTATTCGTGTCGTGTCCGTATCGGACACCGACACTCTTTGGACACTCTTAGAACACGTGTCCGACACTCTTCAAAACGTGTCCTAATTTTTAAATTTTTTTAAAGACCCAGACACTCTTTGGACACTTGGAAGACACACATGTCAATCATATAAACACACGTGTCTATCGATTAGACACATATGAAACTAATTATAAGTTTAAACAAAATAACTTAAGATACAATAATGAAACAAAAATCATATAAATTTGTAGGAATTAGTATCATATTGCATTTTGTATTATCTTTGAATGATATATTAATATATATAACATATAATAAATATATAAAATTACATATTTCACGCGTGTCTCCCACGTGTCGTGTCCTTTATTTTTTGAAAATTAACGTGTCGGTGTGTCTGTGTCGTATCTGTGTCGTGTCACGTGTCCGTGCCCATGCTTCTTAGGTTGTGATTGTTTAAGATTCATTGGATTTATATTTGATTTTGATAGTCCAGGGTTTCTTTAAATGTTGGGTTACTTCTGTGAATTTTTTTTTTTTGTTTTTTTGGTTTTTATAATTGAGGTGGGCCACTGTGCGGTTTCCAAATATAAGTTGGATCTTTGGCTGGATTGGCTGAGGATGAGAGGGCCCCATTTCAAACTCTACCCTCTACCATTGTCAGGCTTGCCAAAACCCAAGATATGAGGTTAAGCGAAAGATTCAAATTATGTATGCACTTCAAATTCTTTTGGCAGTAAATGTAAAGTTGTCATTGTATTCAACACAAAATTATAGAGGAAGTAATGTTGCCCCTAGTTTCAAACTTCTATGAACTTCCATAAATTCCGTGAATTAATTTTTTATTTATAGCGTGATTGATCAAATATGAGATTTTAGACCAATCTTGTTTGAATTAACAATGTTGGATTCAAAAGTCCATTCAGTTTCTAAGATCTCCGCATTCACTCCCACTTTTCTAGTGGCAAAAAATTATGATCTAAAATCAAAATTTAAATTTTTGATAACCAGTGTTGACACTTTTTAGAGTTCTTAAGTGGTAACAAGTTGCAGTAATTGCACCCTTTGTTTTAGCAGATATAATCACTGGGAGAAAGCATCTCCATGGTTAAGTAGTACTAATCCGAGAGATGTGAAGATGCCCGAAAATGGTGATGACGGGTTTTTCCCAACCACCGGCAATGAACTGGTATGTTTAAGTTTTCTGTGCCATAATGATGATCTTGGAAGCCACAGCATATTCTTACTCCAGAACATTTTGTAGAAACCAGAAGTGGTTAATTCCAGTCGCAAATATCGTGTCCGTGTTCTGGTATGTGCTCCATCAAACTCGGCACTTGATGAGATTGTGTGGCGCCTTCTAAACACTGGTATAAGTGTCTGTCTGATACATATCATCCTGTTTTCTGCAATTTAGTTTGCTTTTGTTCCAGAGTGCCATTTTACTGGATGCAATTTGGTTTTCTCCATATTGCTTTGTTATGCGACTCTCTCTCTCTCTCTCTCACTTTCGTCAAAGTTAAACTTTGTATTAACTTTATTTTAAGAAAGTAAAAGAAAGGATGAATAAATAAAACCAGGATTGAATTCAGACATTACCCACCAAGATTGAATTCAGAAAACGCCACTCAGTCCACAATCATTTGTTGGGCTGACAACTTCTTACATCTCTAATAAGGCATAGCACATATCTGACAGTTATTATAATCTCCCCTGAGATAGTCTTACCATCCCTATAATTATCTTGATACATTCTTGCATTCATTTCCGTCCACAGAATCTACATAGTGGCAGCAAATAGGCAACAACATAACAACTTGTCCATATTGTAACCTTTAAGTAAGGAGTGGGTGTGAGTTCATCTCCCCCAAGGTGTTTATCTAACAACCATCAACTTTCACCGATAAGATGAGAAGCTGCCCATTCCACCAACTTACTGCATTTGATACGCAGACACTGGGGGTGTGTTTGGTTTGCTTTTGAGAGAGTGATTTTCAAAAAAAAATTTAGGGAGGGAGTTTAGAAATTTTTTTGGTTTGTTTGGTTGTATATTTTGAAAATAGTTTTGGAGTTTGGGATGATTTGATATTTTGTTATAATTGAGTAGATATGTGTGAGAGAAAAAGTGATTGAGAAGGAGAGAGGAGAGAGAAAAAGTGATTGATTGATGTGTAAGAGAGAGAGTGATTTTGGAAATTTTTTGAGAAAAACCACAAACCAAACAAAATTTTGAAAACCAAAGGAAACTTATTTTCTTTGTATTCCCCCTCTCATACTTGATAGGGTTATATTTACTAAACAAAACCAAAGGAAACTTATTTTCTTTTCATATTTTTCTCTTCTTGGCTTCAATGTTGCTGAGATGTTCCTGATTGTTGGCCCTCTTGGTTCTCTTTGAGGTCCTTGAACAATGCAATATGACTTTAGCCTCGTTTGGGAACATGCTATTTTAGTAATTTTTTGCGAAAAGATGTGTAGAGAAGTAGAGAGAGTGATGTGACAATTTATAGTGACTTTTTGGCTTTTTGGCTAAAATGTGATGTTGCCATTTCACTTCTTCATGTAGGCATGCTTTATTGAATACATTTCATTCTATTTTCAAACTTTGAAAAAATTGACACACTGTGAATACAAGGTGCACTTGATATGATGGGCAGTACTTCCATACCAGGGTAATAAAATGGTTTTGGTGTGGATACTCACTGCTGTTTTTCTGGTTATTCTCAGGTATTCGTGATGAAAATGACCGTCCATACAACCCTAAAATTGTGCGTATTGGTCTTAAGTCACATCATTCTGTCCACACAGTCTCCATGGATTACCTTGTATGTCTATGAACTCCACCATATTATCTTGTAATCTTTTTTATTTTTGCACAGTATCATATTTGACTCCATTAAATTTTGAATAAAAATCTTGAGTCTAAAGGTTTGCATTTTTAGGTGGAACAAAAACTTGCTGGCATGGATTTTCAGACCACTGATAAGCACAAACATGGAGGAGCAGGAAGGGAGAGAGACAGTATCCGTGCTTCAGTTCTGGATGAAGCAGCAATTGTATGTAATTTTTGACATGTATTGAACTTTAAAACCAACATTACTTTCCTTTGTAATTCTGTATTATTGGCAGGTGTTCTCCACTCTTAGCTTCAGCGGTTCAACTCTTTTCAGTAAATTAAATCGCAGTTTTGATGTTGTTATAATCGATGAAGCTGCTCAAGCAGTACGTTTCTCTACCCTCTATGATGCTACTTATTAATGCGGGTGATGATGCCACCTATATTATGAATTCACTTACTGAGTTCATTACCGGTTTATATGCTGATATTTTACTTGATTAAAACTGTACATAAACAAGTGAAGGAATAATTTCAGAAATAGGTAACTGTTAAAGCACTTGGGAGCCTTCCAAAGATTTTAGGCTCTGGCTTTATCTACCTTCTTTCATTAAAATGTTATTGCTTGCATAGAGAATCGGATGTAGCCCTCACCTGGTGCATGCAGATGCGTTTGCATGGGTGTTTGTGTTTGTGCGTGCAGATGCATGTGCACCTGGATATTAATTTCATTGACATGAGTGGTGATGTCTTTGGACCAAACCTTTTTACTTAAAATTTGCTGTATTGTTGTGCCTTAAAAGAGGGGTTTTTTTTTTCCCAGAAGAGAACTTAATGAAGTAAATGGTGGGGGATTTTTTTAAAAGCACATCTCATAGTTGAATCAGAGAGTGAATCATTAAAGTATATCTCATAGTCGTCAATCTTTAATTTCCATGACCTTGGTCTATACTTTTTTTAGAGTGATTTTTTCAAAGAAAGTAATATTTTATGTTCTTTAATTTCCACCTCTTTAGTGGGTATGGATTTTATGTGCTTGAGTCTGCACCATTTTCTCTGCAGTGAGTCTTGACGTTCTTGAGGGAATAATCCTTGATCATAATATTTACTATCAGGAATAAAAAGGGCTCTGTAGTTTCTACATAGGTACAACATACCTTAAGCACAGTGCACCCCTCTATATGCAAACGTTTGTTGGATGGGAAGTGTTTGATTGGGGTGGGGTATATTCAGTTGTATGTGGATGTGTTTAAGAGCAGCAATTGTAATTTACTGTAATGCATTTTTTTTTTCCTTTGCCATGAATCATTGGCATTCTAAATGTCATTTTAACTTTTGATTTCTGTTATCAACAGGTGGAACCTGCTACCCTCGTTCCATTGGCCAATGGATGCAAACAAGTATTTCTGGTAAATATATGATAGTAGTTCTGGGGTAGACCTTCCCCCAAAACTCATTACAGTTTAACATCTGATGGTGTAATGTGTGTTTTTTTATTTTTGTCAATATCAAATGGTATTATGGTCTTACAATAACTACAAAGGCAATAAAATAAGCAAAAGCACACAAGCTAATAAGATATGTCAGGTAAATGTTTTCTGAAAGGAGTTGTTGCTGCTTTCAAATAAATGTTTTTCAGATGGCTTTGTCCAAACAGTGCCAAAATTGGCTCTTGGAAGCAACTAAATAGGATTAGCAATAGCTTTGTTCTCAATATGGGTGATTTAAACTGTAGGTATGATTCCCATAGAGTGCCCCTGTGTACGAAAATTGTTCAGACTGTATCTATGCAAGTTACTATTAAGTTGGTGATTATTAATTGTAGTTGCTGAATTATGCACAAGTGAATGTGCATGTGAACTACAGTTTCACCCCCTTTTTTAGAGTTTTTTGTTAGACTTTGCTATGCCTGCTTTACCATTTAGTTGAAAAAGTAATAGAGGAGAATTGGAATGTCTTCACAAGTTGCTGTATTTATGTATAGATAGTATCAGCTATTCTGATTAATGTTCCAATTACAGGAAACTCTGCCTTCCAAGAAACATAGAAATTGCGAATTGTACAGACTAACACCAAATTTTGAACTCAACTTTAGTATTGTGAAAATCTGTTTTTGAATTGCATCAAAAGGCCAATGTAAGACCAGTGGATTTTCAATTTTGTCAAGTGCTGATGCTTTTAAAAACGTGATTATGTATAAATAGAAACTCAACATTTTGACTTGATGTATATATTTTTATTTATGTGGATATGACTTTATCATGATAAAGTATCTTTTTTGATAGGTAAGGTAAGGAGACTTGAATTTTAAGTCTCTTTACTGGGGGAATGTGATCTAAGCTGCTCGGGTCCCCCAAGGGGCCAGGATAAAGTATCTCATCCATGCTTTCGTCTTGTTGTTCCTTGTCTAAAATCTGGAAAAAAATTTGTGATCTCTTGATGATTTTGACTTCTAATAATCCCACTTGGTGTGTCTGTGTGTATGTATATATATGCCCTTCCTGATGTGATGCTTTTTTTGGCCACTTTCTTTCTCATTCTTTGTTTCTGTCTTTTTTGTAGGTTGGTGATCCAGTTCAATTGCCAGCAACTGTAATTTCTCCTATAGCTGAGCAATTTGGGTAAGAATATCATTTTGTGATAATGGCCCCATTTCATCTCTGTAGCTCAACACACCTGACACCATTGCCATTGTGCTCTCTGCAACCTTCCGATTTAGGTATGGCATGAGCTTGTTCAAGAGATTCCAGAGGGCTGGCTATAAAGTAGTGATGCTGAAAACCCAGTACCGCATGCATCCGGAGGTTAGTTGCCAAGGGGCCTGATAGAGATATGTGAGGGGTGTAAGATGTAAAAATACCATAGAGTTTGAAGCCATGGGGCTCAGGGACTCAATTACTCTTGAGCATAAAACTCGGGTATTGGTGTCAGATTTTGTTTGTTTGTTTTATTTTATTTATCTTACCATTGCATTGTATTCTCTATTATCTACAGTGGATTTACCTCTCACCCGTGGACGTAGGCTGGTGTATGCCAAACCACGTTGAATGTTGGTTTTCTTTTTGTGTGTGCACGCATGTGTATTTATTGTGGATGCTTCCGCCAGCAAATGGGAACCTATTTTCCCAACATATATGGCTTCTGTTCATTGTTAGAATGTTTGCACATAGTGGTTCTAATCCATTGTCTATGCAGATAAGAAGCTTTCCTTCAAGAGAATTTTACAATGGGGTTCTTGAGGATGGGTCTGATGTTAAATCCGAGACAAAACGTAAATGGCACGACTTCCGCTGCTTTGGACCCTTTTGCTTCTTTGACATACACGACCCAAGAGTCCCAACCCTCAGGTGGTTCTTGGGTAAATGAAGATGAGGTTGATTTTGTTCTCGTCTTGTATCGTAACATGGTGACTAGATATCCAGAGCTTAAGTCAAATTCTCGGCTTGCAATTATATCTCCTTACAGACACCAGGTCAAGCTCTTCCGTGAGCGCTTTCAGGATACTTTTGGAGTCGAGTCAAACAAATTAGTGGATATTAACACCGTTGATGGTTTCCAGGTGCTGTTTCTCTTTTTGCTCTTTAAAACCACTTCCATTCCATGCATCTACATTAAACAGAGGAATTGTGTAATTGAAGTTCTCAGTAATCTATGGCTCACTTTATTACACAATTCCTCTGTTTAATGTAGTTAAGGTTTGAATAATCTGCAACACTCTTTATCACACCACGCATGTCTGCGCATAGAGATTGTATTTTAAGGCTATGTTTGGATGGCAGAAATTGACGAGGAGGAATGAGAATCCTATTACTAGGAATTTCATTGCTAGTAATAATATTCCTGTGTCAATGCAATTCAAGCGTTTCGCTTAGTTTGGTTGGGAATCTACTTCATTTATTATTCTTAAATTAATCACATTCTTTCATGAATGTGAGATTTCCCATGGAGGATGTGGGAATAGGATTTCATCCTAGTGTAGTTCTCTCGTTCTGCATTGGGAACTGAACTAGGAAGGAATCACATTCCTATTCTTGGATGCACCTAAACAACAGAATAAAGAAGCTTGAGTGGTAGATTCCCATTCCGCTTCTGCATTCCCTTTTTTTGGGGCCAACCCGCCCCCGCCACATTCCCAATTGGGCCCTAGGGATGTAAAAAATTTTTTTTTTTTTATTTGTTTCCCCCCCCATTCAACCGTTTTGTTTTTTGTATTTTTTAATAGATTGTCTTTACTATTTTCAGCCCAACAGATTGTTTTATTAAAATGTCTTCTCTTTCTTGCAGGGACGTGAGAAGGATGTCGCAATCTTTTCATGTGTTAGATCAAGCAAAGATAGGAGCATTGGGTTTGTGTCTGATTTTCGGAGAATGAATGTCGGTATAACCAGAGCAAGGTCTTCTGTCCTGGTATGCTTTTCATCCAAAGTTAGATGATGGCTTTACACAAATCACAACCATGGTTTTTAAAAACTTACATATTCTCTCCCTTGTATCCTAGGTGGTGGGTTCAGCATCAACTCTGAAGAGGGGGGATAAGCATTGGAAAAGCCTAGTTGAGAGTGCCGAGCAGAGAAATTCTCTCTTGAAGGTATAGTTCTCATCAACAAAATTTAGCATTTCATATATCCTTCAGTGCACACTTAATTTTTAACATAACTACTTTTATGCAACTCGATATTTGATATTTGGTCAAATAGTTCTGAAATATCCCAAAAAATTTTATGGTATAGCTGATCAGTGAGAAATGCTACTGGAGCTCAACTAACGTTTGACTCATTAAAATCTCGTTCAAGATCAATTTGCTATGTTAAACAAGTCAAGCTTGAATGCATTTTAAAGCTCATTATATTTTCACAATAAGTTCGAACAACCTACTAATTTGCTTGGTGATCTTATTTGCACTATAAAAATCCAAGGCTCTGTTTGGAACGATTTTTAAACGAGTTTTCTACTCCCACATTTGAATGTGATGTTCGGATAAAGTTGTGGAATTAATTTTCCACAACTCTGCAGAAAACTTTATTTAAGAGCGTGATTTTCAGTTTTTTTTTTTCGAAATTTGGCCTAACCGGTCGTCCCACCGGTTGTTTGGCCAATTTTATTTTATTTTTTTGTAATTAATATGTTAATTTTTATATATTCGAAAAAAATATTTTTCGAATTTTTTAAATTTTTTTATGTGCTTTAATAGAATTTTGAGTTGTATGTTTGATTATGAGTTGTAAATTTTTGTATCAAATATCAAATGTCACATCAAAAATTTCCCACTCAATTCAAAACTCTTTTCAAAATTTTTTTACTAAACAAATTTTTTACACTCAAATCATAATTCCAAAACTTACAAACTCAACATACAACTCATACTCTCAAATTATAGTTACAAAATTCTACCAAACGCAACCTAAGTTACTCGAGCTCGGCTCGATTAAAACTCATTTAGCTTGTAAGTTGAAATAGTTGAGCTAGAACACAATTTGAGACTTTGTTAAGTTTTTCAAATGTAGTTTGAATGACCTACTGCTTAACCACATTTGACTCGTTTGCAGTCCTACCTCAAATATTCTCTACCCTATTTGGACTACAAAAAACTAAGTTACTTGAGCTCGGCCCAATTAAAGCTCATTTAGCTTGTGAAGTAAAGTAGTCGAGCTAGAACACAATTTGAAACTTAAGTTTGAACAACCACTGTTGAACCACACTTGAATTGTTTACAACCCTACCCCGAAATATTTTATACCCTAATTTGGACTAAATGATTGGCACTGGTTCTTATATCGTTCAAATACTTGTGCATAGTTGCTAACAAGTGTGGACCTTCCCTTCAGGTTTCCAAGCCGTACAAAGAATTTTTCAACGATCATAATATGAAGGCCATGGAAGTGAGCCCGCCCAAGGAAGAGGTGACAGAAGCTCCGGTTGATGACATGGCAGTTAATGGGCCTGTCTATGGTGACACTGCTGCTGATGTGGAACAAGAAGGCCCGGCTGATGATCTCTATGGCGATGGTGATGGAGAGGGGTATGATGGAGGCTTAGACGAAGACTAAAATCTGGTGGGCTCTTAATTGGCAGTCTATCAAAGGTGGTGCTGGTTATGATCGATGATCACAAGATTTTGAATTTTTGTGTAGGTGCTTTTTTATTAAATTTATCAATGACAATTGAAGCATATTTATTAATCCGAATGTAAAATGTGTTTTTAGTTAATAGCTCATGAATGGGCAGAAATAACATTCTCTTTATTTAAAGTCAATTGTAAGAATATTTTTAAAATTCAATCATGCTAGTTAACAGAATTAAATTATAAAATAAATTACAAAATAGAGAGATATGGGATTAGTTCCACATTTTGCATGTCATTTCATAATTTAATTTTATGTAAATAAACCTTATTTTGAAATTTAAAACACTGTAAACATGTATTCTCTTGATTGATATTTTTTTGTTTTTCCTTCAAGAATAGAATAGCTCTCTTGATTGGTTGGTAAAACACCAATTAATCAGAACTAATAATTTATGTTGTTTGGTTTGATTTTCAGATCAAATATTCATTGCACACTATGCTTGTATTTTTCTTAAAAATCTCAAGGAAAATTTCAAGTTTCGACAATATTGAACTTGAAAGAAGAAAAAAAGAAGATGAAATACAACAGAAGAAGGGTTTTATCACGTGTTTATGACCTGAGACAAACTGCTAGCCGTGGGACTCTGAACAGTGGCCCAAATTAAGGTTTCACTCTCTTTCCTTCGCAGTCGAGCGACTGTATCGAAAGCCCACGGAATCGCCGCCGTGGACTTCAGCATCAGCCTCCAATCTTCACCGCTATCTTCTTCTGTTTCATCGATCGACGGCGAAGGAGCGTACGTGGGAGTATCATCATCCTTTGGCACTGACACTGTTGCTTGTTCTCTGCTCGGTGCGATAGCTGGAACAGTTGAACTCGCCGGCCAAATATCGAACTCAAAATCTCCTATTTCCGGCGAATCTGCCGGTGAAAATGGATCAAAACTAGCCGGTTCTGGCACCGGATACAAAACCTCACTCGGCGGATCGTGACGTTGTTCGACCACCGGTGGTCTGGAACTTTGATTATTGTACAAATTTGCCGGTGGCGGAAGCGAAGATCCATGACCTAGACCGATCTGAGTTCTGAAACTGAGAATACCTCCCAATCCATGAACCGCGATGTTTCGGCCGAAGAACAGACCAGGCACAACATCAACGCCATTGGCGGTAAAGTTTTCCGATTCGGGCCTCCTCTGAACTTGAATATCGTGAATCGGCAATAGCGTGGGCAAAATGGAACCGGAGGTGAGATTCCGGAGATCCGCGAGGGATAACCGGAGAGGAACGATGTGGTAGCGGAGGGCGATGATGTAAACAGAGGCCGAAGAAGTCATGTCGAGAGCGAAGAGAGAAGAGTCGGTGGGGACGAAGACGGTGAAGGAAGTTCCGGCGAGGAGATCGAAGTAGAGATCGGAGGTAGTGAGTGCGTTGCAGAAGAGGTTGTAGCCTCTGGTTCTCAACACCGCCAGCATCGATTCAAGTTCTTGGTCTGGTACGGCGATGACGGTGGAGAGGAGGAAGAATATGGGGAGGATGGTGAAGAAGCAGAGAGTGATGATCTTGACGGAGAATAAGCGAGAATTCGACGCCATTAACGGAGACGATGAGAGCTTCGAAAGAGTTTGCTTTAATGGCGGCGAGGCTCTCTGCTTCTTGATCTTTTGGCGGGCTTTTTTCTTCGAGGTAACTGACTTAAATTCCTAGTTTGGGACTCTTTATTTGCTTTAGAAATTTATTTAAAATACAGCTTATTTTTTATAATTTTTTTTAAAATTTAATTGTAAAATTTTTATTTAATAGAATTAATAATATATATATATATATATATTTTCTAATGTTTCTTTTGTACAATAATAAAATTTTCATAATTGTTACAACAATTGAAACATATTTTGGATATTATTAAAATTATTAATTGGCTTGATAATTTTATTAATAAAATAAGTTTTTGTTTTGCAATTAGAAATTTTAAGAAATGAAATATAATTTTCATAGCACAGAAGACAATTCATATTTTAAATAAATTTCAAAGTATATGTTTATAATTAATCTTAGTTATTATTAATTTGAAATTTTCAAATTACAAAAAATGTCAGAGAGATGATGGAATGAATGCAGGTGAATTAAAACAAAGACTGTTTTTGAAATAAAAAAACCTCAACCCACATCACATGTAATTAAATCAACATATTCACTTATTTTTCTAAGGTATATCTAATGGATGGATGTTGGCGAACTATACAAATAGTTTTTATAATTTGAAACTTATGTCACTTTAATTTTTAACTTTTTAATTTTAATATATTTGATATTTGATATTGAATTTTGAATCTTATTTTAAATAAGGACAATCAAAGAACGGTCCATTTTAAAGGTAAAATTATCATATAATTTATTTTGTATTGTTTAACTTGTATGTTGTTTGAAATATAATGACTTTTTTTTTAAAATTAATAATGCTGGAACTTTCTTAATTATAAAGTTATGTTTGGTTTGGTTTTTAGAATCTATTTTTAGAAAAAAAATTTCTAAGAAACTAAAAATTAAATTGGTGAAAAAAATTAAAAACACATCATTTTTATATAATTTTATTTTTTGGGAGAGTAAAAATAATTTTTTAAATAATTTTTTTTATATTTATTTTCGTTAAATTAATTTTTATTTTTTCAAAATTCAAATTAATGTCATATTATTGAACTATCCATTAAATTAGTTCTGTTTGGTTTTAATTCTAAAGTGCCACATCATGCAGTGCATGATATGTGTTCAGTTTTATTCCTCCACTAGATAAATGGGTGAACAAAACTATAATTTTTTATTTTTTAAATAGTTATTTGTATCATAAATAATTTTTTTATCAATTATAATTAGGTTTAAATTTTTGTTACTTCTTTTTTTTTTTTTTTTTCTTCTTGACTATTATTATTATTATGTAGAAAATTTTTGGAGGTTAAAGAGAAATTAAGACAAGTTTTAAAGATTCAAAGAATGGAAGACACATGACATTGTAAGAAAGATAGAAGATTTAGAAAGTTAAAAGTAATTATTTAGGTAGTGGTTAATCGAAGTTTTTTCCTTCATCTTTTCTATTAATTGTCATTAATGACTCTATTATAAAGGACCAACAAATCAATACATGGCTTAATTTTCATTTATTTTCTATTTTAGGAATAGGTCTAATCTACATAGGAGTAGTTTAAACTTAGGTAAGAATAACCTTAATGTAATTTACTTGTAATTTGATTGTTCATTCAATAATTTACATCATCTTCTTCTTCTTTTCTATTTCTCTTTTTCTTGTTTGTATTGTCATTATTTTACTCCAAGGAAGTTCTTGAACCTTCAAGGCTAATTACTTGATCATTGTATCTTTTGGTGAAATTTTAGTTAAGGCCCTATTGATCTAAGCCTGACAAAAGTTTTATTGACAATTTTTGCAGGCCCAGTGGAACACCGTCCTAATTTGAAAAAAAAAATGATAAAGACAAAATATCAAGAAATTATGCCATAAAGTGGCATGTTTACATCTTGTGCACCCATGGATGCAAACCACCAAAGGAGTAGTAATGTTCCAATGGGTATGAATTATTGTTGAAAGAATAATACTATATGCACCAATTAGTGTATTAACTAGTTTACCAATTGATGGTGTGGCATAATTTAAGAGGTTTTGGGTATTTGTAATGCGATTAATGTGTAATGTTATAATATTATTATTAATCACACTCATTAATCACATTATAAATACCCAAAGCTTCTTAAATTATGTCATATCATTAATTGATACACTAGTTAGTACACTAATTGGTGCATATAGCACCACCGTTATTGAAATGCCTCATCTTCCATGTATAATGATTCTAATGCCTTTTGCCAACATAATGGCATAACAAATGAAATGGAAAGAATGATTCGGTATTGTGAAAATAAAATTTATTGGTATACGAGTGAAATTTTAACCCTACAAAAAACAATTAATTCTCTTGATTGGCAAAAATTTCAAATAATTTCATCACCACCTATTATTTGATGCAAAAATATATAAATTACTTTGAGGGAAAATTCATCAACTTAGTTGCCAAGTTTATTAAGTTGATGGAGAAATTTAACATTGGAGTAAAAAATTAGAAAATTTTAAAAAGCACAAATTTTATCAATTGTTAAGAGGCATTTCTAACCAAAACTTTCTATTTACAAAAGTCATGGCCAAGGAAAAATTAAGTTCTGAAAATGACATGCCTGGAGGGTAATTTTTCAAGCCATTAATTGAAAAAAAAGACCAATTTCTTTTGTCAAAGGATATTGAGCATTTTAATGTCAACCATCCAATTGGAAGGTGTGATTTTAAATCAAATATGAGAAAGAATGTTGAACAATCATCACAAAATGATGGTAAAAATTCAATTGAAATGCATGGTTTTAAGCCAAACATGGTTAAATTTGATGAACAACCATCACAAAATGATAATGAAAATTCAATTGGAAGGTATGGTTTTAAGCCAAACATAACTAAATTTGATGAACAACCATCACAAAATTATGGTAAAAATTCAATTCGGGGGTATGATTTTAAGCCAAACATGGCTAAAAATCATTAACAATTCACATTTGATGAATTTGAATTTTTTGATATTGTTAATTTTGTTAAAAAATTTAATTTTTTAAAATCAATTGATATTATGATTTCTGTCATCCAACAACCACAATAGCTTTGTGATTCACATCAAAAATTAACTTTGATGAAATAGTTTGCAAAAAGAAATTCTGAATTTTATTTCTATTTTTTATATAACAGTAAAGGAGGAGTATTTCGATGTGGCCACAACAACAATTTTTTTTTATTTTTTATTTTTACACATATGGGCAATCGATTATAATTTTCATAGTTTCCATTATGTATTTATATTCATACAACTCTTCAAGAATTCTAGTGCTTTCATTCTTAAAGAGTTGGGGGCATTGTTTACACCATAAATAAATTTTTCTTCGATTATGACTAGGTTTAAATATTCTATTACTTATTATTATTATTATTATTATTATTATTATGCTGAAAAATCTTGGAGGTTAAAGAAAAGTTAAAACAAGTTTTAAAAATTCAAGGAATAGAAGATACATGGCATTGTAAGAAAGAATATGGAAGCTTTAAGAAGTTAAAAATAATTATTTAAGTGGTAGATAATGGAAGTTTTTTCCTTCATTTTTTTTTATAAGTAAATTGCCATTAATGGCTTTATTGTAAAAGACCAACAAATCCATACATGACTTAATTTCTATTTATTTTCTATCCTATGAGTAGATCTAATTTATATAGGAGTAGTTTAAATTTAAATAGGAGTAGTCTTAATGTACTTTATTTGTATTTGATTGTTCATTCAATCATTTACATCATCATCTTTTTCTTCTCTCTTTATCTTTTTCTTATTTGTATTGCCATTATTTTTATTTCAAGGAAATCCGTGAACTTTAAAGATATAGAATTTCAACACAATTGCTTGATCATTGTGTTATTTGGTTAAATTTTGATAAAAACTCTATCGATCTAAGCCTAACAAAATTTTTACTAATTGTGGGTGTTGATTTTTAACCTCACAACCAAACAAGAAACTTAACTGGAGAGTATACGACAGTATAGATTAAACCAAGCACCCGTTAACAGGAAGATAAGGATACCACGGTAGTTCGTTCACTCAGTGGCACTCCGATGATCAAATCAGTTAATCTTATCTTTCAAAGATATCAACACAAGTACACAATTTACAATAAAAAAACATACCTTAAACTCGCGGAGTGTCTCACTTTTATAATAATCAGTGTCCAACTTTCCGTAGAAGTCTTATTTCATGGAACTTTATCCTTTACAAAAATAACATTTATCACAACTCACACTATTGAGATTAAGATGAATTTCTTCAAGAGTCTCATCTCTATCCAAATAGATAACTTGATACCATCTAAGACTCTTGTTCTCTATCTGAATATCTCAGATTCAGATTCAGATATGATCACATCATATCTCTGTGACTTGGTCCATCCATATGGCACTCGATTAACAACATTAGCTATATGGACAACTCAAAAAATATATCCACACACTAACAATAGTATAACATAAAGGCAAATGTTGTAAGTCTCAAATTTTCTACCAAATGAGATCCACAAAAGTGCAGAGACATTTAGTCATTCATTTAGTAAAAAATTTGATATTCCAAACATTAATCTACCATAAAAAGAGGCTTATAAAAAAAAGAAATAAAATATTCAATACAACAAGATTCTTAAAAACAATCGATCTTTACCATTGACAAAAAAAAAAAAATTAATCCCGTGTTCTAACTAGAGGTGTAATTCCCTTGCGTCCTAACTAGACATGTGCAAGAATAAACAACTAATCTAACTTAGTTAATTATGGCCATCGTGCTCATTTTATTTAGAATGTTTTAAATAAATATATTTTTTAATTTTTTGTAAAATATAAATTGGATATGAATTAAATTTAAAATGATGTAATAAAAAGATGATTTAATTTAAATAAGATAGTAACTTTCTAACTTTTTTTTAAAAGATGACAAACAAAGCTTAGTCTTTGTTTGATATATAAATTGATTTTTTTAACTTTATAGTTATTTTAACCCTAGGGAAAAAAACAATTCATATGAGATAGATTTTAAATTTTTTTAACTTTTATGGAAAAAAAAATAATTATAATTTAAATATGACATTTTATCTTATCAATTTTTTAATTTATTTTATCATTTTATAACTAAAATAACAAATAAAACCCATGCCAAACATAACCTTAGAGCTATTCAATATCCATTTTCCAAGTAATAGAGCCAATAATTTCCTAATGTTTTCTAGGAGAAACAACAACACACCAGATGAATGAATATAAGGGGGCAGGGTATGAAAAATTTATGTGTCCCCAAAAAAATATCATGAAAAATATCTCAAAAAAATAAAACATATTTCAAACTTTTAGTATGGAGGGATCCACATCCAAAACAGTCCACACATTTTATTTTTGAAGTAATTTTAAAAAGAATAATACTTGGGACCTCTTTTTGGGAGTCACCCCTCACCCCCCTTTGCCACATGGCGGGTGATGATTGAAGGAACAAGAAAAAAAAGAAAAAGAAAATGTAACCAATGAGAGAGAGAGGAGGTCAAAGGAGGTGAGAGGAAAAAGGGAATGAATCATTGCCGTTTTAAAAATTGCATAATAACATATCATGAATGAATAGAAAGGCCACATATCATGAACAGTGGCAATGAGAAGAGTCTTGCAATGATGTGAGCCATGTTATCCAAACATAAGCAGAATTATATTAGTTTTACAACATCAAGAAGAAGACATTAATAGTAATAATCTCCTATCCTAGATAACAATGAAAAGGAGAAGCAAATACACAAGAAAATTGAATTTTTTTCCTTTTTTTTTTCTTTTTTTTTTTAAAAAGCACTTGCATTGCTCTTTTATGTGCCTTTTCTGATCACCCTACTGTTTATTTTTGTTGTTATCTTCTATTCACATGCCAGCTTTGTATCAAAGCTGCTCAAGCAGATTGCAAAAGCCTGAAATGCAGATAGAGGATATCGATAATCCATCGTAAACATGTCTTTCCCAACCTTACCAAACTGCAGAATAATTTTGTCGTGATCTGATTGTGTCTGTGGCTGAGAAGCCGCCGGAGCACCACCAGACGATGGTGGTGGCGGTGGCTGTGTGGCAGCAATCAACTGGAAGTTTTTCACAGATGCAACAGTTACCCTCCCACGAAAATTCAAGCACCAACATTGCAACTGTTCGTGCCATCTTGGTGCCTTGTTTTTTAAAATCAAAGGTTTCATTTTCCCCTGTTCATCGTTGTATGAGCTGCTGACGATTTCAGAAAATCGTGAACTGCTGAACTCGGTTGAGTGATCGAGAGACTTTGAGAAGGAGATGCTTCGAAATGAGTCCTCAAGGGAGCGGGGGACAAGTTCCGGTTGGCCGGGTACTGTGCCACCAGTGTCTAGTGCTGCCGCGGGGATGGAGTGCATGATGCAGTTCATCTTTCGCGGGCCCCTTGTCCCGAGCACGTTCAGCTCGTATGTGATCTGGGATATGTTGTAGCTGCCGGTTGGGACTTTAGGGGATACTTTTTTGGAATAGAACCTACGGCTGGTTCGTCCCGGCGGAGGTACACAGGCACCAGTGTATGAAGGTTGTGTGTCGTATATAATGAATTTTGTGCCAAGAAAATTTGACCTGAAACAAGTAAAATGGAGTTCAATCATTAATGAAATCAGTAATAATAGAGAATGCTAGCATGATTTCGAAAACAGAAAACATAGTAAAGCAGAAATAAAATGGACGAAAATCCTTATTGGCATCAGGAAATCTAGAAAAAATTAAAAACAAAATAGAACAAAACAAAAAAACCTACCCATGTTGAAGGCAGATAAAATAATGTAATAAAATACATCATTTAAAGAAGCAGAAGCACTAATGCCTATTAGATTGCTGTTAAGATGAGGACACTGCCAAAATAGTTAGAATCCCAATACACTTCACATATTCTCATTCGCTTCTACATATTTCTACACATTTTATTCATATATCAAAGACTAACGACCACCCATTGGGCACTCATTAGCATTTTCCATTTTTAATAGCCATAAAATGTTCATTCCGCTAGTGTCACCGATTCACATAAACCATAGAATGGCCATCGTAATTTCATCGTGTTAAAAGCATTCCCTTGCAGAGCGTTGACTTTTATATTAAGTACCCGATCAAATACCTTGACCAACTAAGATGAGAATTTGACAATTGTCTTATCCTGTCCTTTTATGAACTGATGAATCTACTCTACGAGGAATCTATGCCACCATTTATTTACCTCTCAAAGGAAAGAATTCTGTTTTGGTTACCTTCTACTAACAAATCAATATGAGAGAATTGTAAACATTCAATTAGTTTGAAACAATAACAAATAAATAGAATATAAAACAAAGAGAACTGCTTTGTTGTTACCTCAGCTTTCCAATATATGTGCTGCTAGATCTTGAAATGTTGTCAGCATCCATTGAGATAACATACTCCGTGCAAGTAGTTCGTCGAGTTCTTTTCGCAGAAAGAAGGAATTTCCCGTTCTCAACAAGCAAAGCTGCAAAAATTGGAACCAGAACATGAAACCCAGTAATATGGTTCGGTAGGAACAAAGAAAAGTCCAGACAATGAACCATTCTTGATTCTAGTATTTAAAACTAATTGTTCATAAAAAATTAGGAAGACTTACGTGTAGGTCCTAATAGGTGAACTTATTGTCTAATAAATTCTATAATAATTAATAACGTTTTTCATCATACACTATTAAAAAAAATCATTAATTGTTAATTGTCAGTAACAGTTTGCAAGTTGTAAGTTTTAGCAACAATTCAAAAAAATCATCACAAAAAAAAGTTGCTAATTCTCAACTTTCAACAACAGTTTAAAAAATTCATCACAGAAAAATATCACTAATTGCAAGTTTTAGCAACAATTTATAAAAATGATGACCAAAAAAGTCACTAATTGTTAATTTTTTAGTGATGTGTGCAAAAAATCGTCCAAAAAATATTATTTTTAGCAACGATTTTATTAAGACTTATTTTCAATAGAACTTGATGGGAATTAAGTCCAACTATTAGGATCTATCAGTACTAATTTACTAATCTAGTGACCACCCAGGAATAGATTGATGGAAATAGGTGAGGAAACAAAAAAAAGTAGCACCAAGAATTATCTTGCAGTTCTTATATACCTACTTTTCAGCATATCTACAAAACTTGGATTAATAAAGTTTTGTAACTATAGATGCACAAACCAATATTCATAGATGACTGACTTGATAGAGATAATATATGAAGAAAACTAACAAACTCACCTAATTTCAGCAAACTAAGCCTATTAAATGGTTTGAACAAAATGCTTACCAGGGCTAAGACATAGGAAAAGGTGGTATGTCAAATTAGATTTATCCCTTTTGATGAAGCACTGAATAAATCCATCACGAGGCCCTGGCTGGAAAGGCAAATTAACAAGATTTAGTAATTGTTTATATAATATTCCGTTCTATTTTTTTAGTACGAAATATGAATCCCCACACACAGACAAAACATAAAACATCCAAGTTTACATTATATGACATCAAAATTTATCTCAATATTTCATATCAACTCATTCAGAAAACACAATTACCTGCTTCAAGGAAACAGGAAAAGTAAGCTTCCCACAGAACTCTGGACTTCTAACAATTTCTTTGCACATACTCCTCCATGACCTGCAAACAGCAGCACAGGCGACAACATGTTTTCGAGCAGGCCAATTACTCTCACTCTCCTCCAATCTTTTAATTACATCGCAAAGTAGCTCCAGAGGGAGATTAGCCCAACGACTGCTCTGAATTACCAGAGGCTGGTCAGGCAACTCGTGAAATGAACCATGTGACTTTCCCCTGTGATGACCGTGTAGCCTGACGTCGAAACTCCTCCTGGATAAGCTCCCAAAACCGTCTCTTACGTCACGAACTATGCTGCGGAACGACATTTAACCCTTAACTGATGTACTGCAATGCAAAACACCCCAATAATTTTCTCTCTTTCATTCAATATCTTCCAACAAATTACATTCCACTCATCATGTGAATATGGCTGCAAAAGAACAAAAGGCAAATCAGATTTCTGCCACAAAGACAACTATGCAAGAGAAATAATAACAGCGTAGGAAGAAAAGATAAAAGGCGCCCAACGAGGGGGGAAAAAGAAAAGAAAAGAAAAGAAAGAAAAGAGATGAGTAGGAAAAGAAAAGAGGTGAGTGGAAAAAGACAAAATTCACATGGACCTTAAAGTGAGACGGACAACTTTATTAGGTTCTATATCCTGACTACTAAAATTATTTTAGTGCAAGCAACCCAATAGAAGAATCCCAACAAAAGATATAGGGCCAGTAAAGAATCCCCAAAACTACTTTAAAATCCAAGCTAATTAGGGTTATCTACCTTGAAAACTTCATTAACTTTTTGACTTTACACTGGTGGCTCACCTAAAGCAAAAAGATCAGATACTTAGCTCAGACTGAAAAAAGAAAACATCTCGCACATAAAATCCAACTAAAATTGTTCAAAATCTTATTAGCAAGCATCTGCGAAATAAACCCCCAATTTAATCTTTTCAAAATTGCTATAGTTTTCTGGCAAGCAAATTAAGTTAAGTATCATTTGAACATCAAGTTCCAAAATATATGTAAGCACAGCCATTGGAACTTCAAATGTGGGTCTGCTCCTTCCTCCTCCCCGGCGCACGCCGGGGCGGGAATATTCATTTTATTTACTATTTTTTTTAGTCAATAGATTGTTGTGCTAATCAAACATGAATTCACTCTACCTATGTTTTAGCAAACAATACTAATGCATCTATCATGTTAAAGAAAACCACACAACTCAGAAACTTTGTCACACTTTCTGTTTTCCCAAAAATACCCATAAATTGGTTAGTGCTAAAACTCCAAATCCCAAAACTGCTAAACAGTTTTCAAATTCAATCATCATATGTTAAACCACCCAAAAGTTCAGATGTATGCACTCACCACTAGTATATATATATATATACAAACACAAACTCATATAAAAACTAGAGAAGACTAACCCGCCCAGAAAACTGGAGGCTGAATAAGGTACAAGGCGATCAAAGCTCCATACCTTCTACAGAGATCTGAAAAAACTTCTTTAAAAAAAAAACACAAACATTTCTAAAAGGTTACTTTTAGGGAGGAAAAAAAAAAACCCACAAAACTGAGCTCAGAAATCAGCAAAAAACAAAACTGTAACAAAATTTATCTAAAAAAAAAAAATCTTTTTACCAGAAACAAGACCCAGCTAGAGAGAGAGAGAGAGAGAGAGAGAGAGATAGAGACTAGCCGATAGATCAAAATTTTTGCTTCAAAATTACCATAAACCTAAAAATCTAACAGAAAATTAAGAAATGATGAAGCAAAAGGTTTAAATTGAGCTCTATACATGAACATACACCTACAACAGTGAATAAACATACATAAATACAAGATTTGAAGGTGGAGAAAAGTGAGATCGGAGATCTGTACCTCAGGCTACAAAATCTGGAGGTATATGTATGTGGGTCTGTGTAAATTTCAGAGGAAAATCGAGTGATCTGAGACTTTTTAGGACAAATAGAGAGAAGATGAACAGATCACAAAAAGTGCGGGCTCAGACATGTATTGTATGACCTTCTCTCTCTCTCTCTCTCTCTCTCTCTCGGTCTACTTTCTCTCTCTAGTTTCTCATCCGGACTCGAAGCAAACGTTAAATCTAGCTCTCAAATGAAACCAAGAGGAGGAGAAGAAATTAGACAACCGCCCTCTTTCGTAGAGTCGTAGACTCGTGAGAAATTGTTTATAATTTATGTCTAAATAATTTATAATTATAAATATAAATTGATTTGTAATTTATAAATTAAGTATTTTTTGTCTTACTTACTCTCTCTCTCTCTCGTGGTCTACTTTCTCTCTCTAGTTTCTCATCCGGACTCGAAGCAAACGTTAAATCTAGCTCTCAAATGAAACCAAGAGGAGGAGAAGAAATTGGACAACATTTTGATATATTATATAACATAGTTTTATACTATAATATTAATATAATATATAGGTAAATAACTATATTATAATTATAATAATACCAACTACAGGACCAAAACCTGGGTATAAAGCAAGCACATCAGCAAAGATGGTTGTTTGACTTTTGTGGTTCCCATTTTACCCATCAACCACACATTGGGTTTTATTAGTAGTTAGGGGCTGTTTAGGATATTAGTATTTTTTTATTTTTTATAAAAAAAAATATTCAGAAAATTAAAGAAAGATGATAAAAAAAGTAAAAAAAAGATGTTAATAAATATTAATTGATGTGACCTAAATAAATATATATATACATAAAAAAAATACACTTTTTTAGCGTATACCAAACAAGCATTTAGTAATTTGCATCCTTAAAATAGTACATTTTTTATTTTTTTAAGTTATATTCAGAGTGCTTGATTTTAATTTTCTGAATTTAATATTTAAAAAATTGAGTTTTTTTTTTGGTTTTTTTTTTTAAAAAAAATTTAAATTTTTTTTTATTTTTTTAGATGCACCTTATTTAGATGTATCTAAATAGTAAAATATTTGTGAAAAAATATTTTAAAAAATTAATAAATACATAAAAATATTTAAAAAATGTACTATTTTTTTGTATTTTTTTTGTATTTTTTGATATTTAGTATATTTTTAAAGATTTTTTTACAAATATTATACTTTTTAAGTGTATTTATGTTAGGTATGTCTAGATTTTTTTAAAAAAAAATTGTTTAAAATATTAAAAAAATTCATTGAACACATTAAAATATGGAAAATAAAAAAGTAAAATTTTTTTGAAAGCTGTTTTTTGAAAACCAAAAGCAAACAAGCTGATTAATTTTTTATTTTTTTACATATGTTTTTTTGTAAAAATTTTTAAAAAATATTTATTTGGATCATTTCAAACAAACCTTTAATTAAAGAATTTGATAAGAAAAATAAAAAATAAAATAAAATGTAATCTCACTTTCTATTTGGCTATAAAGAAAAATATATGGAAAAAAAAAAAGAAAAGTGGGATGTATCATTGCTTTTTTGAATTGGAAAATGAGTGGGAGCACTAATTAGTGCTACCACTAATGATGTGGCAGTGAGTCCCACCCACTGTCACAATGTTTTTGTGCCTTGTTTTTTTTTTTTTTTGTTAAAAGTGGGTGCCAACTCATTAGTGGTACTTTAGAGCACCACTTTTAGTGAGATGCATCATTGCTTTTTTGAATTCTATCAATTTCCTTTCCTCTTTCATTTCACTCGTCAAATCCTTCAACCAACCATAGCCTTAGGATATGTTTGTTTGAAAAGACTAGATAAAAGGATTATAACGTTAGTTTTGAGTTAATACTTTTTCGATTATTTGATTGAGAGTTATGTGTATTTGTTGGCTTACATTATTAACCTTTGAAAGCCAAAAAACTAATAGTATCTCATATTTATTTTGTCATGGAATTCGATATTTATAAATGACTCTTTTAATAAGTTTTATGTATGGTTAGAAAAATATGAAGAAGACTAGTTTCTCAAAAGACTTTTATCTTTCTGAATTGTTTACGATACTATTAAATTTGAATTTTATTTTATTTAAAGTATATTTTATTAAGACTATTTTTAATTTTATTTACATACGACATTAGAAGTATATTTTTATTTATGATTTTACTAATATAAAAAGGAAAAAAAAAAGAATAAGAGAAACTATTATGTATCATAAGATTAATTTACACAAGTTTAAAATATATATATATATAGTATATATTGTTTTTCTTCTTAACATTAGAATAATATTTTTTTATTCTTTTGTTAATAACAAAAAAGAAAAAGAAAAAGAGAATTATATATATCACAAGATTAATTATACATATTTACAAAATAATCAACATATTTTTTTTAAAAAAAATAAAGAAATAAATATTATATATTCAGAGTTAATTTTATCATTTAACTAGTTAATACTCAAAATGAAAGAAGCAAAATTTTGATACAAATGTAATGATAATAATGAGACAACAAAAAAATCATTTATGGACGAAATGATAAATTGTAAATTGATTTAAAATGTAGCGGATTGATTGGTAGAATTAAAAGTAAACAAGTTAAAATAAGATATGAGACAACAAAAAAATCATTTATGGACGAAATGATAAATTGTAAATTGATTTAAAATGTAGCGGATTGATGGGTAGGATTAAAAGTAAACAAGTTAAAATAAGATTACTATAAAAATATATTTATAATAACTAATTATAAATTGATTGGGTATAAAGAGAGGTGGTGAGTATGAGCATGGTGACATGGGCGTGGAGGAGGTGCAGGTGAGTGGAATTATAGTAAGGGAGGCACGCTTTCATCATGAAAAGTAGTTGCTTGCCCCCTTTCCCCTCTTCCTCTTTGGTCTAAACCCTAAATCCACATTACTACACTTTAGATCTGATTTTGTAGGTGTGTCTTTGTCCCAAACTGACTCCCATTTTGTTGTAATTAACCAAAACATAAGTTTTAATTGGTTTAAAATAATATGTTAGATTGTTTTTAGTCTGGTTCATTGCACTATTTCAGTGATAATTTACTGTGTTCATTTATTAAGATCTAGGTACGTATCACACGATTAAAAAAAAAAAGAAGTGTAAACACATTATTTTATCATCTTAATCTTTATTAAAAGGAAAAAAAAGAAGAAAAAAAAAAAGAGGAGCGGCCAAGTATGATTTTTATTTTTTTATTTTTAAACACTAAAATAACAAAATCATTGATTATAGATCATAGATGATCTACATATCAAGATTTAAAAAATGAATAGAATAAATTATTGAAGTAAGGACTTAACGAGCTAGACTAAATCACCGAATCTAATCCAATTCACAAACTGTAGATGATCTACATATTAAGATTTAAGAAATAAATAGAATAAATTATTGAAGTAAGGACTCAATGAGCTGGACTAGACCATGGAATTTAATCCAATCCGCAATCTGTAGATAATCTATGTACCAAGATTTGAAAAATAAAATAAATAAATTACTGAAGTAAGGATTCAATGAGCTAGACTAGACCATCAAATCTAATCCAATCCACAAAGTCATGGTTAGAAATTTATAATTTGAAGTAAAATTAATAAACTTTTTAAATATGGAACTTACAATTTTAAATTAATAACTGTGTTTTTATTTACATAGAGTTGTTTTGAAAAATAAGTTAAAAGTTTATTTTAAATTTTTTTGAAAAAATATATTATAAAAATAAAAAGATGATATGATAAAAAAAATTAAAAATCAAAAAAACTTTTCAACTTCTTTGTAAAAGAGGCCATGCTCTCACAGTCTGTCAACAAAGTTCATTTTGGTCCAGAGTCAGTCAGCCAAACTAGAACCCACTGATGATCCTATGTTCAAAGTATGTTTCGGAAATGACTTCAAAAAAACGCGTCTTTGATGTCTGGAATAGAGCTCAAACTTTGACTAGTTCTGACGTTATTGTTGGTCTCTGGACTAAACTATTAATCAAACTATTTGGTTTTTGAATTTTTAAAAATGATTTTTAAATTTTTTATTTTTTTTGTTTTGTTATTTTTAGTAAATATATTTGTTTTTATATTTTAGTCAATTTTTATTTTTTTAAAATGTACTTAATCTAAATATATTTGAAAAATAAAATATTTGTGAATAATTCTTTTTTTTAATTCAAAAAATATAAAAAAAAAAATTTTTTTTTTTTTTTTGTATTTTATGATTTTTTTACAGAAATTTTCATAAAATTTGCACATTTTAAGTAAATCTAGATTAAGTTGATCTAAAAAGTTTAAAATATTGATTAAAATATTTTTAAAAATATTAAAACTAAAAAATACAATTTAAAATTTAAAAAATTATTTTTAAAAGCTCCAAAACTAAACAGATTTTTCACATAGTATTTTGGTCACAATAGTTCTATACACACATAAATGAGTGTCCTGTGAATTTTCGAATTAAATTGCAGAAATTGAAGAAAAATCCAATTGTGAAGTGGTTGGAAGTTTCGAACAATGCTTTTTGGCATTCAAGACCCCATTGTTTTTTTTTTGCTTTTCACAATAGTAATTAATGGTGGGGTTTCTATCTTTCCAATTATGAAGAGGTGGGTTTAGCAAATATTTTTTAATATTTTTTTAAACATTAAAAAAATTAAAACAAAATTACAGTTAAAAAAGGATATATATTTAGCCTTTGTTTGAAAAAAAACATTTTTAGTCTGACTTTTTGACTCTTTTAACCGAACTAAACATTTCCATTCATAATGAAATTTTAGTGTTTTTTTGTAATTTTATAAGAGAAAAAAATAAAATAATTATAATTTAAATATGACATATTGTCTTATTTCCTTTTTAACGTATTTTGTCTTTCAGTGAACTTTTAGTCTTAACCATCTTGTTAAATAGGGCCTTAACAACTTCAACCACACTCTCTACTTTTCACTTGTTAAAGTACAAAAAAAAAATACACTCTTTATTTTACTTAATCACCTTAGTTATTGTATTCTTCAACCATACTCTTTATTTTAGCTAATCATTCAAACTAACTTAATTAATTTTTAAAACAAAAAAACTGAAAATAGTCCTATCCAGACATCTAATCCCATGAAAAAACAAACACATGATACATATCCAATCCGACCAAATAGTCCGGGGGATTCACAGTCTCAGGACTCAAGTCCGATGGATTATAATCCCCCCTTTTCCAGTCCGTCCAATCAAACACACCCTTAGTCCTAACCATCTTGTTAAATAGGGCCTTAACAACTTCAACCACACTCTCTACTTTTCACTAGTTAAAGTACCAAAAAAAAAAAATATACTCTTTATTTTACTGAATCACTTTAGCTATTGTATTCTTCAACCATACTCTTTATTTTAGCTAATTATTCAAACTAACTTAATTAATTTTTAAAACAAAAAATACTAATTGTTGATATTTTACTAATGTAAATTTGCAATAAGAATAAATTTGCCCATACAAGCATACAAAACCTGTAGAATGAGGAGAAAAAAAAATACAAAATAAGTTATTCCGTAATTCATCAAACAGAATTGAAAAAATATATAAAATTACTACATACACATATACATTTATAAAATATATAAAATCCCAAATCCAAGACATATATATACAAAAATCCAAGGCATATATATACATATTTGTTTGGAGAGCTTATGTGGCTCTTTAATTGTAGCTAGCAAAAATTTAGAATGGTAAAATAGTTAATCCAATAATCAGTCTATTGGAGGCTAAAATTAGAATTATATTAACTAAAATGCCTAATAAATATTTTTTAACTATCCTCCTGGAAATGCTTAGCTAGTGAGAAAGTCAAGTAGAAAAGTTGTGTTTTCTTTTCTTCCTTTTTACCAAATAAATCAGCAATCGACAAATAATTTTTTTTAAAAAATGGCTGAAATATCAAAAAAATTGGCTATTTAAGCCATAGCTAAGAAAAGAGAATTACAATAACTGTATTATTATTATATTGTGGACAATAATTCTTCTTTGAGAAAATAAATGAATGAAGATAAGTATCAATGTTCACAATGAAAGTTAGCATTTTGACAAGGCCAAAAAGACATGATATGAAAGCAACTTACTTGATTATTAATGCTCTAACAAAATAAAAGTTGTACAAAGTTGACCCCACAATATATAAAGTTCAAAGCTACAGAGCTAACGTTTTCACAGAGAAGACTATGGCTTCTTATTTCCGTAAATATTATTATTTGTCATAAAATTTTAGATGTATACATATCATTTTATATATAAAATAGTCCTCAGTATAAAAATATATATGTCACTCTTCTTCTATCTTGAGTTATCTTCTATTTTACATTAAAAAAAATTTATTCATTCTATTTGAAATTACTTTTATGATATTTAATTTTTTTAATATATATATATATATATATAATTTATATATCATATATACGAACATGTGTGTTTTGTATATATGGTGAATTTTTTTTTTCTTTTGGCCCCTCCGATAATAAAATTATAGTTCTGTCCCTGTACACACATGCCCTCCAATTAAAGATAATGAAATTCAGTGACTCATGATATTTTTGCCTAACTATAGTCATAAATTTTTCATTAACATTTTAAAAAATGTTATGCATAGTTTTAATTTCCAATTTTTTTTTTTGCACTTAAACACAAATAATTAAGTTTTACATTCATTTATTAATATGGGTTTACTACTTTGAAAAACCAGATAATAGTATTTCAGAAGTTTAGTTTGACAATATTAACTTCATTATATGTTGTGTTAGTCTTGTGGCCCATGTTAATAATATGATCTTTTTTCATTTGTTAACTTTTTATGTAGATTATTCTTGGAATATATATATATATATATTGATTAATTTGTAAATACACATGACAAAATTATAAAATTACAACACTCAAGGCTTCTTACCATACTACTTCTTCTAGGGTTTAGACATTAATTAACATCGAGTTTGGAATTCTTTCTCTCCTCTCCCTCCCCAATATTTTTCATCTTTGATATGTCTCCATCTAAAGCAATATTGTACAATGTAATGTTGTCTGAATCAATTGCTATTATGTTGCTATTAATCATGTTGTTGTTATTTTCTGTCGAAGAAGTAGCAATGATCTCAATACATTCTAATTCTCTGGAGTTCTTTGATGGTATTAATTGATAAATTCTCTTCAACTCTTTACCTTTCCCCCATAAAATCATGTATAATCCGCATATTATTACCACAGCTCCTAGCACACTGGTTATTATTTCAAAAAAAATAAAAATAAAAAAATCAAATACATGCCAATTTTAGGGAAATTGTTGTTAAATTTAGCTTTAACATGGAAGATTGCATATTATCATAATTGCTCTAACATTATTTTTTTTTTAACTTCACACTTTTATCCACAATAAATAAATAAGATAATATAAAAACTAAAACAAAAATTATATACTTAGGAACTCACATGTGACATCCATTAACGAATTTTTTGATATTTAAATGAGAATCACTAAAAAAAAATGGAGACAATTTATGTGAATAAATTTTTTTATACGTAATTCAACTAAATCAGCCGACTGCCTAAGTAACTTATATGTTTCATAAAAATAAAAAAAAAAACAAAAACAAAAGAATAAAAATAAAAAATTTGTTTTTACATAATTAAAATTTTGAAAGTGTATTATTTTGAAATTAAATTTGTGAGTTTTCAAGTTTCTAAACAAATTACCAATAAAAAAAAGGGTCTCTAAACTAATCGAAAAGAATAAAATGCTCTGATGATACAACGTAGATGACATGTAATCCATTAATATACCAATAATTAATAATATTTCCGAATAAATTAGCTTTATATTAAATGTTTTTATTACTACAAACAAAAATAACAGAATTTATACTAAAAATATATGTAAAACCTATTGCTAAAAATAGAGAAATGTTATTTACCAAAACATTTTAAGTTAAAATATAATAAAAATTTGATAGAGATGTTTTAGGTGATCCATTGCAGGCCTTATGAAAATATAATTAAAAATTAATTCAATTATAAAATTTTCCTTAATTAATGATATTGGCCTCTTTTGGTAAGAGAGTATTTTGAGTCATATTATTTTATTATTTTTTAATAATAAATTTTTTCAATTTTTTTAAAAAAAAAAAATTAAAAAATTAACTTTTCACTTAAAACAACCCAATGGTTGAGGATTGTTAATGTGTAGCACATACACACATATACCTGCCCAAGTGTAGCTTCTCCTGTGACAACAAGGACCCGGCGATCGCCACAAGTACTAGCATCAGAGGGTTAAAAATTGATACGAATAGTGGACCCCTCATTTGTACAACCCAAGCCATGAATGTACACGTAACGCCTGAAGCCACAATCCCCTGCAACGCAACCACATCAACACACATCCATACAACCTCTACTCCATCAATCAATGTTGACTACGCAGTCAAACTTGTCGTATTTGTAAAAAACAATGGCAAATATGATTTTGAAATGGATTATTTATTTATTTTTAAATATTAAATTACATAATTATGATTATCAAATTAATATATATATATATATATATATATATTTGTAAAAATAGTAGACACACATAGGTATAACAAATGATTAGAGTAAATTATCAAAGCGATATACTCGTAAAAAATCCCATGGCCAAATTGAACCTAGGCGGTTTCTAAAAATAATTAGATTTTGATATGATAATTATAATTACATAATTTCATTATATTTTGTCTTCAAAAAATAAACAGTCTACTTGTTAAATCATATTTATTTTCTATTTTATATATAAATACAAAATTACTACTATTATTGGATCAATTTGAGTTTTTAAACATGTTCTAAGTGTACAAATTTAACAATTCAAATTACCAAAATGAAACCATTGTGACCTCACATATCCAAATAGACAGGTTATTAATTTGGTACAATTTTTCTCAAATTGAAAGCTGATAATCATAAAACATAAAAAAAAAAGAAAAAAAAAAATCTACCTTATAAATTATAATAAGTAAAAATTAGACCAAATAGTAATATAAACATTCAAAATAATAAATAAATAAATTAATTTATAATCAGAATCTATAAAATGAACCAAACAAAGCCATAGTTACATACCGTGAAAATTACTGTGAGGAGTCGGATGTTCCATCGCAATTTCCATTGATTCCAATCTCTCTCCATGCATAGTCCAAAAACAACGGCTTGGATTGTCCCACAAAATATTATCATAGCGGTGCTAGAATAGAGACAAGGATACTCCCGAATCATCTTAGCCTGACCGACCCACCAATAGGATAGAATTGAAATAAATGATTTATATTTTTTTAGAATGGAAATAAATGATATTACTACAAGTCATTGTTGAAATTATATTGGTTTGGTTTTAAATTTTAATTTTTTTTTTTGTGTTTTTAATTCATATTTTTTATTTGTAATGAATTTTTTAAAATATTTTAATTTTTTTTTTAACTTTCAGATTCACTGTAAATAGTTTCACTTAAAATGTATAAAATTTATGCATAAATTTATAACAAAAAATTTAATTCAATACAATAAAATAGAAAATCTTAAAAAATTATGTTCAAGTTCAAGACTCAAAATGATCACCTGAACAATCAATCCGGCTGCAGCGGAGAAACAACAGCATACAATCAATAGAGCTCCCAACGCATGATTGCCTCCTTCTTCGTGTGATGACGCCACGTGTCCACCCCGATGGGGCTGACTTTTGTGCAACAGATTAACGTTTGTAGAGAAGATGTCGATCTCTGCACCTTTGTAGAGCGTTAAAAGCATGGCCCCACCTATGCATATTAAAGTCCCCAACACTTTGGCCTTGCCTGCTGTTGTACCGAATCCCAGCCTCTCCAACCTGGAGCCACACAGTTCTCAGATTAGACGGCTATGATGCCCTGAGAGAAATTGTTTGGTGGTCTAATAATGTTGTTCCACATCATTCATTTAATGCTGGTTTAGTAATCATTTTGTTTTTAGTTTTCAATTTATATTTATAAAAATTTAAAAAATTATCATAAAAACTTGTTTGATAATTTTTTTGATTTATAAATAACTGTCTCAGTTTATAAATTTGAGAAAAAAATGTAAACTCAAAAAATGAGTTTACGTTGGTTTTTAAACAGAAATTTAAAATTTTGACGAACAAATTTTTTTTTCCATTAATTTTTTTTTCAATTATTTTTTAATTAATTTTGTTTCATTTTTTTCAGTTATTTTTTTTTCAAATAAGTTTTTTTTTTCAAATATTTTTTTCCCAATTATTTTTTTCTTCAATTATTTTTTAAATTATTTTTTCCCAAATAATTTTTTTTCCCAATTATAATATGTGTGATCCATTGTCATAAAATAATAAAACATAAATATAAATATTTTAGGCCTGGGTAAACATATTTTTTAGTTTATGTTTTTAAACATTTTGTTCAAACCAAACACGTTTATAATTTATGTTTTTTTAAAAATAAACAAAAACCAGTTTATAAAATTTTTGTAAATATAAACAAAAAACGTAAACATTATTAAACACTACCTTAAAAATAAGTGTTTAATTATCTCTTAAAAAGAGATAAAAAGGTAATAAATCTCATTAATTCAATTAATAATAATCAAGTTAGAACACCACATCATATTGTTCATGAATAATGTTATATGCACCAATTAGTATACTAAATAGTGTACCAATTGATGATGTGAAAATTTTTAAGAGATTTTTGGTATTTGTAATGTAATTAATGATTAGGGTCAATAATAATATCATAACTAATATTTGTACATTAATTGGTACATATGACACCACAAATTATCCATAGGACCAAAGAATAATTTCCCATTGGCGAGTGTTATTGCCTCAAGTTCCCGCAAAAACATAATAAAAAGGAAGAGAAAAAAAAGAGAGTAAAATCTCGAAACCTTAAGGGAATATGAGAAATTACAAAAATAAACTCAAAAGTTTGACTATTGTAATAGAAGAAATACTCTTTCTATTTTAAAATATTAGTTTTTTTGAGAATTTAACTTTTTTTTTCAGTACAATTATTCCACTTTAAAAATATTAACTTTTCAAAATTACCTTTTACCTTTTTTTTTTAGAAATTTCAATTGTCATAATTAATGAATTTTAAAAAATGGCAAAATATAAAATTCATGTCATTTACTCATTAATTTTTGAAAAGGGATTAATATTTTAGAATAATAAAAAATAAAATAAGGGACTAATATTTTGTGACGGAGGTAGTATTGAATTTTTAATTTTATCAATTTAAATTTGTTTTGATTTATTTTCAATCTATATCATTCACTTATTTTTGTTAAATAAATTTGACCAGAAATATATATTTTAGTAATCAAATTAATGTATGTGTACATAAAAAATCATTTTTATTAGTTTAATGACTAAAATACTATTTTCCGCCAGTTTTACATAACAAAAGTAGACAAATGGTTTAGATTGAAAAAAATTAAAATATTATAGTTTAAATTGATAAAATTAAAAATTCATGATTTATTTTATTATAAGAGTCAAACCTTGACTCTTTTTCTTCTTCTTTTTTTTTTTTTTTTTTTAATTTTCCTTAAAATTGAATTTATGTAAGAAGTAAAAAAACCAATAAATCCATCCAATTATATATAAGAAACACTAAAAGAATAAGATAAAATAAACAGAGAAATATGAAATTTACCGAAAAGAGGTTGCCAAAATGAAGGTGAGGGCAGGAACAAGATTAGTCATGGCAGTAGCAAAGGTTGCTGAGGTTAAAACCAAACTTTGTGCATATAAATTTTGGGCCATTGCACCCCTGCAAAATGATTGCAAATTACAGCAATAATCATATATTAATATCTTGTTAAAGTTATTTTTAAATTTTAATTGGCAAGTAAGTTGAATAGTGTTTCACAAAGGCCCTGTTTGGTAGGGCTTATTTGTAACTTATTTAAGCTTGTAGCTTATTTAAGTTATTTTGGTGTGTTTGACTCAGCTTAATAATACAGATTATAGCTTTTGGTAAACCAAAAAATCAGCTTTTTCTTTGAGTAGGAGAAGAGAAGCTTTTTTTTTTTTTAGCTTAAGCACGTAGTTGCCATTTGAGGGCCAAAATTACTTAAATACCCTTCACCAATTTGAAGTATTAGCAAATTGTCACTATATAAACAACAAAAGGTCACTGTTCACTTTGATAGAGAGAGAGAGAGAGTGGCAATTTTCGGCGTGAGAGAAAGGCGATTCTCGGCGTGACGATCGGCAATTTCTGGCATTGGGAACCAGAGCTCTCTCTTTCTCCCCCTCCCTCCGCCGTTGTGAACCAGAGCAATGCGATCTGAAACCCTAGCGATTTGAAACCCTCTCTCTCTCTCCCCGTGATATGAAACCATCACGATCTGAAACCCTCTCTATCTCTTCGCGATCAACCCTAGCTCTCTCCGTGTTCTCTCCGATTTTGCAGAGGGTGGCCGGCGGTGGCTAGGGTTTGGTATGAATTAATAAATTAAATTATTGTAATGAATTAATAAATTAAAAAAACTTAGTAATTTTTATATTATTAATTTGTATTGTAATGAAAAAAAAATCACAATTTTTATTTCACAATTATTGGTATAAATTGCACAATTATACAATTTAAATAAAGAAATAAATTGCACAATTTTATTTCAATTAATATCGATATAAATTTATTTCAATCAAATAACTTCTATTAAAAGAATTTTATAATATAAAATTCTTTGGTATTGTAATAAAAAGTTAAAAAAAAAAATAATTGTTGCTAATTGATATTAAGGGGAAAAAATTGAAATAATAAAAAAAAATGAAATAACTTTTATTAAATGAAATAAAAAAAAATGAAATAACAATTATTGTAATGAAATGAAAACTGAAGTAAGAGAGAGATTAACAGCTATTAATGAAATAACATTATTAACTTCTTAATGATTTTTTTTTTAAAATTAATGACAAAATTACATATATCATATTTGTGTGGAGGGAAATGAAAAGACCTTTCAAGGAAAAGAGCAAGAGGAAGAATAAAAGCAGAAGCAAAGAGAAAACGATAGGCAATCAAAACAGTCATCTTCATTCCGTCATTGGCAGCCATTTTGTAGAAAATATTAACAACAGCAAATGCAATGCAATCTGAACCACCACCATTATCATCGCCGCCTTCAACTCTTTTATACTGTTCCATATCCTCCCCATCATCACCACTACCCTCAATGCAATGTAGAGAGAGATGGAGAAACTAGCTGTGTTCTTAACAACTAGTGAGAGAGGGAGAGAGTGAGAGAGCTGGGAGGTGTAGTGGGGAAGGGATATGGTGGTATTTATAAATGAGGAAATAAAAGTGCAGTGGTCACGGAAGGAAAAAAATACAAAATTATGAAAAAGTATAGTATTTTAATTATTAAAAAATATAATTTTTTTATTGATTTGTAAATTTTATTTTACTGTTACACTGTGATGTAATTTTCCTTTTATAAATTAATTAATTATCGTAAGGAATAATTACCATACAATTTTATGGACTGTACTTATTTAATTAAAAGTTCTGAGTTAAATTTTCTTATATATTTGCCTCTGATTTTGATAATGAAATCTTTTAAAGACTTTTTAGATATATATTTTGTGTATTTAGTATAAATAATTGAATCGATTTAACCTTTACTTGTGAGCTTTAATTTATTTTTGTTAGTTTGTATTAAAAAATTATGTGAAAAGTACAAGTAATTAAATTTTTTAAAGATATTTTGCTTGTATTTATCATTAAAAACCTGAGGATTAATTTGAGAAGTGATTTTTTTTAACTAAAATATGATATAAAAAAAATTAAAATATTTGAGATTAATTTTTAAATTTTTTACACAAAAAAAAATGTAAAAATAAAAAGAATTTTTTTTTTCTTTTAACTTTCTTATAATATTTTTACTTTTAAATTTTTTTAATAATTTTTTTGAATTTTGAATTATTATTATTATATATATATATTTTTTTTCTTCCCCAAACGAGCTCCTAATAGATATAATCCATATAAGTTCGGTGGATAGGAGTGAGCCGTAACCGCCATTTATCACGTATGTCTTGTTTGGAAACAGTTATTTTAATAATTTTTAAATTTTTTGATTAAAATATAAGGTAAAAAAATTAGTATATTTGGAATGATTTTTTAATTTTTTAAGAAAAGATGTGTTAAAAGTTGAGAGAAAAAGAAGTTTTTAACTTTTTGATATAAGTTATAAATTTTTTAATTTTTTTTAGTAACTTTTTGACTTTTAAATTAAAATAAACACATGTCAAACAAGGCTTGAGGGCTCTTTTGACAATATCACTTTTTAGCTTAAAAATTAAAAAGTTACTAAAAAAATTAAAAAATTAACAACTTATATTACAAAGTCAAAGATTTTATTTTATTTTTCTATTTTTCACATTTTTTTATAAAAATTCAAAAATTCATCCTAAACCTATTAATTTTTTTCGCATCGTATTTTAATTAAAAAAATTAAAAAGTTAATAAAAAAATCTGTTCTCACCTGCATAGGTTTTACTCTCTCGCAGGTATATAGTTACTTGAGCGACACGTGAGAGGGTGTAGACGTGGAGGTCTCAGGCACGTCTGTCACTTTTCCATGGCTGTTTTATTTTCTGCATGTCAACTCCTTTGCCTGGTGGCTAGTTCTATACTCCACTACTAGTCTACACTACACAACACAACAGAGTAGAAGCACATTGAATGGTAACTAACACGTATGAGTAGTAAATGCCTATTGCCACGGGTACGATGCCATTTAGAGTGGGTGACAATAGACATCTGAAGTTATTTGGTAGGTTTGAAGAATGATCGTCTCAAAATATTGATGAATTTACGATTTAATGTTAAGTGATGAACGAATAATTAGGATATATTGGAGGTGTTTGGCCTAAATTATAGGAGTGATTATATTATTTTAATTTAAGAATTTATGTCACATTATTTGATGCAATTTTTACTTACAATTTTTAAGTGAAAATAGTTTATATAAATTGAGAAAAATTGATTATTTAGAAATTAAGAAAGAGATGCTTTTAATTTCTACTTTTTGATTATCAATTTTAAACATCACCGTCATTTAATGATTGATGAGAAATATTATTATGTCCGTTCTAAAATTAAAAAAAATTCAGTCTATTTTACTTTAAAAATTATTACAAATTTCCCAAAACCACCCTGTAAGCTTAGAAAATTGTCTGCCATCGGGTACCTATTCATTGTGACTTTATACAAAATAGCACATGCATATCCTTCTCTCTCAAAATTTTCAACTTTTGTTTTTGTTCTTCATTTTTCCCTTTTTCGAATTGGAAGACAATTGAATCATAATTCATCTATCAAAAACAAGAACCAAATTTATCTAGAAACTAGTTCCAAATTATTATTTTTTTTATCTACAAACTATCTTCAAAATCAATAGATAAGCCAAATTGATTTTGAGAGTGTTCGTAACTTACAAGCAATGGAGGTCCCAAATTCATTAATCAGACAATTGGAGATCTAATATGTTGAGTATAGAATTATTGTTTTAGGATATATACTTGGTTAAAGTCTCGTTATCACTCTCTTATTGTATTCTCAATTTATTATCTTCATATTTAAAATAGGATTGTACATGAAATGAAGTAATATTTAACAATTCTATTACGAATAAAAAAATCAATCATAGGAATCATATGAACAAATATAGTAAAAGGAATGTCAAGAAAATGTATTACAATTCTTTGGTAGTGGAATGCAATTGTGCTAGTAGAAACGTGTACTTAATGAGATTTAGCTGCCAAATCTACACCTCAAATGGAAAATTATCCAAAAGAGGCACACATTATAATATGAATTGCTTTTGGCAACATATCTATATACATGAGTATTTCTTGCTCAACTCTCAAAATCATGATTTAATGATTTTGTTTTTCTTTTTGTAGAAGTTCATCACATTTGAGATTTTCTCACTAATTTGCTAGCTCTTTTGGACACATTTGAAGAATTGTGCAAGTTAGTGAACCAAAGAAATTTCCTACCAATTGTTGTGATTCAACAGTTGTATTCTACTTATTTCTTGTTAGAAGTAGCTGTATCTAACCAATGGTTAGTTTAGATTTTGTGTTTTATCTTGTTAAAAGTTCATCACATTTGAGATTTATTTTTATTTGTTTGGAGATCTCTCACTTTGGTAATTTATATGTGCAAAAGTTATATAATACTATAAATTATGAAATGTATTTAGTGGAATGGGAAGCAAAAATAAGGCCACCAAAAACAGAGTATTATAAGAATAATTACATTTAAGTAATGAGATGTAAACTCATCACATGAATTTTATATTTTATTTAGAAAGTGTCAAATGATATGATTAATGTTATATAAACTATCACATTAGATAACAATTAAAATAGAGTATTAAAATGAGATTGCCACGGTATTATTAAAAAAAACACTAAGAGAAAGAGAGAGAGAGAAAGAGAGATTTATTGGATAATAAAAAAAAGAAAGAAAGGTAGATACAACCCCCTAAACATATCAACTACCAAAAACTGATCAAAGATCTCCATACAAACTCCACTTTTTTCCCATATCACACCTCGACACTAAATTTTGATTTAGAAAGAGCCCATAACCAAGAAGTCTCATCCCTTGTTTGAGCTCCCTCATTGCACCTCAAACACCATTCCCAAAAACTCACTCACTCCTTTAGTTTTTCGCTTTTGTATCGTTATCATCCCTGGTGGCATGTGCAACGGGTGTGGCATATGCATTTTCAACTAATACTTTGGCAACCACATCTGATATGGGAAGTGCCTCAGATTCTTCTTCTTCTTCTGTCCTTACTATCTTTGGTGGGGCAATTTTTGTTTCCGAGATCTTCTCCATTTTTGGTGACTCCTTCACTTCTTCGCTCTGGCATAACCAATCAAGACAGATGTAATTTCATAACCACAGTGATAAATTTTGGCTTAATGAATTTGATTCAATACATAGCGCATCCAGCAAAACTCAAGAATGTGCACATGCATGCATAACCTAGCTCTCAATTCAACATTTTAAACCAATTTATGACTTTAAAACTCTAATCTTCCATGAACCATGCAAGAACTAACTTAAATACACAATTAAGAGGATGAATTCCTTACCTAGGTTTTGAATTCCAAGTTTTGAAGCTTCAATTACACAATCTCTCTTCAATTTCTCCTAAGTTCGAAGCCAAACTAGGTGAACTCAACTTCTTTCCTCTCACTCTCCTCTCACCCATGGTTTGGTCTTCAAAGATGAGAAAATGATATGAAACTAAGCTCTAAACAATGTGTAACAAAGTGGCCCACTATAATGGTAATTTGGTAATTAACCCTGATTCAATAATTTAACAATATTTAATCTAATTTAATAATTCCAAATCAAATTTCAGTTAAAACTATCATAAAATCACATAAATTCTAATTAACATAAAATACTAATCGATTTCTGATTCGGTCGCCGATAGGACCTTCAATTTGCAATTCGAAATTAATACATGAACAGATCGTTTAATGACTAACAGATAGAAATGCATTTAAAACAATATACTCTTGCAATCAATTTAGAATCTCAGTCAAATCAGTCACTTATCATTCTCAGTCACAGTTTAGTATTAATCAGAGGTGAGGGTTGTCACAGATGTCATTACCATTTTCATTACTGCAATCACAGACACAGAGAGAGAGAGAGAAAGAATTACAGATAGAGTTGAATCATGGATGGTCCAGGCGCCCGAAACTTCAACGACGAACGGGTCGTCCCGCCTCCTCGGGTTACAGACCCATTGATCTAGGCGCCCGAAACTTCAAGAAAGCGGTGGAGGCCGACGGAGGCAGATGACAGTGACCGGCCTAGGAAGAGGAGGAAGATTGATAGGGTTGGGGATGAGTAGAGTCCAGATCCTTTGTTGCCGTGGTGCCGAAAGTATTTTGGTCTTTTTTCTTTTTTTTTTTTTTTCCTTTTTTTCTTTCTTTTTTTCTTTTCCCATTGTCTTCTCTCTCTGAGCTAAAAATTAATCAAAAATCATGAAGTTGATTAATTTGTGAGTTTGGTATTGAGATCTAGAATAAATAATTTTTTTGTTGAAATTATTACAAAATTATGATTATATATTCATTAGTATTCTTTTCCATTTATATTTTTAACCAATC